ATTACAAAATCGCTTTAATTGCATTTGATCATCTGTTCATCTTCGTGGCTGATAACATTTTACAGAGGATTTAAATTGCCAGCGACGAAAGCAAGCCATTTTGATGCTTTTGATCTGTGATTGAATCGTTTTTTTAATCACAGTCTTTGTCTCTTCTTTATGGTTATGTCTCTATATTCTTTTGTTTCAGAACAAACAGGAAATCATGAACATTTCACTGAGACTACATCGATCAACTCTGAATTTACCTCTTCATTTAACCTCTGTTGCATTGATTTGCAATGAAGAGAAGACAAAACAAGAAAAAGGCTCCGGCAATGGTGTGTATGTGTGTGTGCCTTTCACATTGATTGAGTAATTTACAAAATTGCATAATTTCGCATAAAAGTCTTGACTAAATGGCATTTTTATGCTTTTGACATCGTTCTTCCTTGTGCCAGCGAGAAACACAACCAAATTTTACACACACGTCATAATTCTCCGTTCATTTGCCAATGGATGCCTGGCTCGTCTTCTTCTTTTTTCCCGCTGTTGTTGTTTCTGTAAATCCGCATTGGCTTTGAAATTAATTCCTTTTTGCTTGTTGCCTCTCTTCTTCAAACGACCGCAGAGCGTGTGTCTTCTTCTGCTCGTGCCCATATTCCCCACGAATCAATTGAATCATCAGCATATAATTTTGGACTGTGAATGCTTGGTTTTTGGCAACATTCTAGCCATCAATTTTGATACGTATTCATTCGCATCGCATACGTGCTGAGAATAAACACTCATCAAATATCCTCGGGCAACGATGGGTTCGATAACAAATTGTCGCTTTTCCCACAAAACAAACACAATTTGCGATGTTTTTTTGTTCACACATAAAAAATTGCCATTATTTTTCCATCCTTTCTCACACCGAGTTCAATCTGCCAATTATTTTATTAGCAATTGTTAATTTCTAATGAAAAATTAAACCGATTTGGCTGAAAATCCTTAATCCATTTATAATACCACCACGTTGAATGAATCGAAGGAATTCACAAAGGTAAAAAAAAGGATGAAACGAGTGTAGAAAAGATATATGAGTCTAGTTCAAAGCTATAATCTCGGCATTCGAATTGAAAATAGATTCGAATGGTACAAAGAGAGAGAGAGGAAGAGAGAGAGAGAGAGAGAGAGAGAGAGAGAGAGGGAAACACGAACGAATTGAACCGCGCGCACCAAAAACGGCATAAGAAATACAAGGTGATAGGTCACTTGGAATGTTTAAGTCTTAAGCCCTAAGGATACGTGTGCAGTTTGAATAATAACATACACAGTTTTTCGCATATTGAATTTTCTCTCTATGCGGTTGTTGTTTTGTTTTTCGCTTGCACTCTGATTGCGTATGTACGTTTGCATCGCTCTCACCGGCGCACACTCTTTGGCCGCCGCCACTCGAATATGTGTAATGATACACGTCGTACGTACATATAAATAAATACGGTTATCGTTATAATGTTCATTATTGTAAAATTAATGTTTTGTGTATGATATTTTAATACGGCATAAAATGTAAAGGAACACAGAGATACACACACACACCGAAAAAAATCGAACCGAGGCGCACAAAGCCGAATCAAAAAATGCCAGCACAGAAAAAAACACACAGGCAACATCATCTTAGTTTTGAGCCAGTGTATATATGCATAATAATTTAAGTGCTTTTTGATTCACATGTAAATATGTAATGAGAATTATCTCGCGCAAACGCAATAAGGTAAAAAGGTAAGGAGGTAAAAGCAAAAAAAAAACGAAAAAAAAAACAATCCATCGACAAAGTAATTGATTGCACGGGAACAGTTCGTATAAATTGTAGTGAATCTTGCTCGTTCGTTTGGATGATGGAAAAGTGCGCATATTTGGTTGTGTTCTTGTTTCTGTTTTTTTTCTTCGGTGCAACGAAAAGTTTGTGTTTTAAATATCACTTGCGAACATTTTAATAGAAAGCAAACCTCATTTCAATCAGAACAAAAAAAAAGCATTTTCAATTCAATTATCAAATGATCGCCATGCGCGTTTCCAACTGGACTGTATATCACTTTGCTATTGAATGGGCCTCGGCATGGGATTTCATATAAATCCACATTGAAATAGACGAGTGAGCAAAAATCATCAAATACTATCGATCTGTCGGCTTCGGGTTCGTATAAGTTATGTTTGTCGGGTGTTTTGTATACTCTATCGATTTCGCTTGCATTCTTACTTCTCTTGAAGCAAAACCGAAAAAAAATAAGAAAAAATAGCCGAGTTCAAATCGTTCAAGTTCTGCTTTTTTCCCTTACCTTATTATTATTCCACCATGCATAAGAATGATTTTTATGTGATGTTGTGAGTGATTCTTATTTATGGATTTTCATTTACGATGCGCCACAGCGCGAACTCTACTCTCATGCGGCTCTTTTCCATGCCAGTTCGGGCTGCTTTTTTTGTGGATATGTTGTGTTCGATTCCTGTTTGCGGGTCTCGCTTTCATATACTATTCGATTCAATTGAAAACCATAATTCATCTGCACATTGCAATTACATGAATAAATAGTAATAAAATATTAATTACAATTCATATTTTATTTTCAGGCCGTTTCGAATAGATGCGGCGTAGTGGTTGTTCTCTAGCGCGAGAATAAGAGCGAGAGAGATTGCGAGAATTTCCTTGTTCTGTGCTTCTTCATCCTTGAACACACATCAATTGTCATCATTTTGCTTGATCTCGCGCTCTGTGTCTGACTTTTCAATTTTCCATTTCATTTGATTCGCGAAAATATCACGTTTGCACCGAAATAAAATAACATTATTTCATTGATTTTGCTTATAAATAGTTTATCAAAGTCTTGTGTGGCTCGTTCTCTTTCGTTCGCCAGACGGCAGAAGAGAAACCAGCCGATCGCATCACTTTTTTTTTGCTGCATTTAATACAAAGCAATAAACTTATCAATTGCAAATGTCGGGATTTTTTTGACAACCAAGCATAGAACCACTCACACATTCGAGACTCTAAGTTGTTGGCTCTGTTTTTCCCTTCGTCTCTGCCATGAGTTGAATTGAAGTGCAAAAAACATGATAAGAACAACTCTTTTAAGCTCATATATATGACTACAACTCAGTCAGGAATCGAATCGGATAAAATAGTTGCTGAAAAAAAAACATATAACATCTTCGATCAGCACACAAGTTTTACCTAAAGTCGAGACACTCCCAACTTGAAGTTTAGCGCATTCATTGTTTGTCCATGCATCAGTTTCGTTGTTGTGCATATATGCTTGATCTATCGACGATATGAAGAGCCGAAGTGCTCGACACTCTTGTGAGCGCATTGTTCGCATTGATATTAAACATTTCCTCCATGCTTCAGAATGCACTTTTCATTCGCTCTTTTGAAAATGCATCAATTCGATGTGCTTTGTCCTCTTGTTTGTTGTCATCATTTTGTCGTGGTTCTTGCCGCTTTTTTTTGGTTTGGTCGAGTTTTGCTTTGAAATAATAATGAATACCATGTGTGTGTGTCTTAAAACCGTCGACGTCTTGACCGTCGTTTCCGTATCGACACCTATTCGGCCGGAGCATATCGCACAACATGAATTCGACGACGAAATATCAAATGGAAATAAATCTGTCGAATCACATCGTTTCGAACATGAAATCGAAGCACCAAAATGATAGTATGCTTCTCGGCCAGAATGCGATTGTTGACCAAACGTTAAGTCATTGTCAAAGTTTGATTCTTTTTTCCGCGTCTCTCGCACTTATCGGCTGTCATGTTCTTTACGATTGCAAAGTGATATACAGGAATTCGACAGCTAGAACAAGCGTGTCGCATGGCCGAACAGCTATAAAAACACATGGAAAAGCATAAAAATCGCCGTCAGAGCCAAACAAATTATTACTGGCTGAATTCAATTGTGCGTCACTTTTTTTCTTCTTTGTCCCGTTGACAATTTACGTGAAATGAAATGTGAATATGATTTTTGCTGCAATTTTTTCTTCTTCTTCAGCCAAATGCAGGGATTCGCTCGTACAGTGGCTTTTCACCTTTCCACATCACGGTCATTGCCACTTTCTATTGTGGTCATACACATTTTTACGCCTTTTTCCTGTTCACAAATCAAAAGAAATTTAAGTTACCGCTTAATTTTTTGTCTTCAACTTGTTCTAGAAAATAACGAAGCTGAAGAAGAGGAGGAGGAAAAGATTTCTATTGTTTTTCACTCGTCAAGTACATCGACACTTATGACATGATATTCAATTTATTAGCAATTTTCAAGTGTTTTTACGGCCAAATTATAAATGAATTTCATTCATGCTTGCTCTCACATATTGATGGGTAGGATGTTTCTAATTCTATTCGTGAGTTCTCGGAAATTGAATCCACTGTGGCAAAAATGTTTTTGCTTATTCGTCTCTTTATATAAATATTGATCCTCTTGAATTAATTGCTTCTAAAATCTCAAATTTACCCAAAACAAAACAGTCTAGATACAACACATTTGATAATGGGAAACAATCCATTTTCGAGAGCAATGGCAGAAATTTCAGCAATTTATCAATGGAATTTATGATAATCTCCGATAATTATTAAATGGTATTTGACCGTTGTTACGTGAATTTGTTCATTGACGGCGAAAACGTATGCTGGATGCGCGACTAGATGTTCGTCTCGATTTTTCTTAGTTGTTTTTTTTTCATTTTTCATAAAAAGTGGCGAAACAGGAAATCAAATTGATGCCAATGTGTGTGTGTGCCCACACAAAATTCAAGCACCATAGTTGTTGGATTCATGCTTGGCGCGAGCGCGCGATGACTTTCTCGCCCACCATCCATAGCTCAAGCGTGTGCCTCAGCTTTCCCAATCTACAAATAATTTATTCATATTTATTTGTTGGTTTTTACCATCAATTCCCCCTCCCTATCGATTATTATTTACCTAAGTTATTACTCTTCTTATTTTTTTAGCAGTCGAAATGGAAAAAAAGGAGTTTATATTTATTGCGTTAGGTCAAATTCTAGAATGGTAAAAAGGTCTCTTTATTTTGGAATTTTACATTGGAATTAATGTGATCTACATGAGTTATTTTTATTTTCGCTCTTATCCTGAAATGCTTTCCATTAGCATGAAATTTGCCGAAGAAAAAGATCTATTTTTTAGGTTTGGTTGAGCTCAAACTAGAAACTTGTTTCGATTAAGAGGTTCAACTGATCAATTAAAAATTAATCGTTCAATCGAGTTGTTTGAAAGCTTGGGAATTAAGAAAATTGCGCTCGGTGTGTGTGTGTGTGCAGTGTGCACACACTTTATTTTGAGTAAAACAAAGTGCAGAGACAAATAAATCGAAAAGCCTACGTATGATGGATTCTTTGGTTAATCATTTCATTGTGTGTTTACCTGGTTTAGCATATGTCTTTTCATCAAGAGAAAAATATAATGGTTTTTCAAGTTTAGTAGAATTTATGTTAATAACAATTACAATATTAATCTTAGTGCTTAGCAAGTCGTACGCTCTTAAGAGAGAGAAAAAAGAGCAGTCCAAATGAGCTTGGTAAAAATATGAATGACGTAATTTCATAAAAATATATAAATTAGCATGCAATCGAATGCAAAATGCGCACACAAACATACACATACACACCAGCGGGCCGAACGTTGTCGATGGTTATATGTCACATAAATGTGTTCCAACGGAATTATAATTTAACCAAATTGTGGCCATTTACATTCGACGTGTATATACTTTGCGATAAAATTGCGCTCACAATGGCATAGTTTTTGTGCTTTTAATTGTACAATCAAAGCCTTTCCCCTCTATCAATTTCCATTATACATTTTTCACCTTCTCCGTGCGGGATTATGACGACGTGTTTCATTTTGTGCTGCTGCCTATTTTGGCAGTCTAATAAAAGTGTATAGTTCATGTGGTGTGTGCGCTATTTTCGAGTGTGTCGGTTGTCGGTTACATTTTTTTCCGCCGCGAATTTATAAAAACTAGCGATCAGCTGCAAATAATTTGAGGTAATTTACCTCGATTGACGTGCACGGGTACGTGTGTCTATAATACACACATCTCATGTTTATACGTTGAAACATGAACACTGAAATTTATTAGTCTCTCTCTCTCTGGCTCAACGGAACACTGCATCATACACTACGTGCTGAAAGTATACGACGTGGTGTCGTACGATGCCGCACACATCTCGGTTTGGTATAGGTTTTCATTCATAAATTTCTCGAGTTTGATGCTGTTGGTTTTTTTTCTTCTTTTGTGTTGCATCGTTATTTTTCAGAGTTTCACTCGCTCGTGTTTGCCAAAGACACCCGAGAGACTCTTGCACAGCTCATGGAACGAAGCTTTTTTTCTATTGACTGTGTGTAACCAATTTTATGAATGAATTTTTGCGCTTGGTATGAACGCGCACGCTCATCGTCGAAATGCATGTATCGACATATGTGGAATTGAAACGAACGTACATGATTATATCGCACGCTCCGTTACTATGGTGAGGTTGTAGCTTTTGTCTCTCAATGGAACGCACACAAAAACAACAACGAGCATTCGCTATGTGTATCGCCTTTCAATGAATGGAGTCTAGATGGTTTTCGATGCAACACCATCGTTTTTGATAAATGAACTCCAAGGAGAAAGAGAGAGAAAAAATGAACGACAACATTAATTTGGTCTCTCGTCGCATATTGCACACGGCTAAAACAGGAGAGTAAAGGAGAGAGTTGTGTACGGTGTTGTGAATGAGCTCTCTCTCTCTCTCTCTCTCTCTCTCTCTCTCTCTCTCTCTCTCTCTATCTCTACAATTTCATCATGGATAATTATATCAAGGGAGATTAAAGATTTTGCGATTGCATGCTGAATTTTCAATTGAATCTTAATGAAAACTGATGCAGAAATGATTGGTACACTGTGATACGACGACGACGACGAGCGTAGCGCTGTTTGTTTGTTCGTACACTTATTTGTGTGTCTTGTGCTCGCTTATTGTCTCTTGCTATTCAAAGTATGAGATATTAAAGAGTTTTTACTCTTTCAAAGTGCGGTACGCGTGGGTTGCTCCATCTAATCTCCATTGCAGCGGAATGCAAAGAAAAAAACTTGGAACAAAAAAACGAAACGAATGAAAACCAAGAAGAAAACAAAAGACAACGCATTCAATCCGATGCTTTGACATTTTAAAGGTACGACTGAAAATTTATGCTAAGATACGATTGAGGTGGAGGTTTTCTGCAAGTTCTCATTGCTTGATTAATATTGAATTTCCGTTTCGATAAAATGCCATTGCGGCGATTAGATTAGAACTCGGTTTTAAAGCCAATGGAGGCGATCGGGCCACGAATGACATCTTCACCGCCAAACGACTCCATCCATGATATCGGATCGAATTTTGCCCGTCCGTCCGGTTGCGGTACCTCAATTTCGTGTTCCAATTGCTCGTACACGAAAACCATATATCTGTGTTGTCCAGAAAAAACAGGTGGATCAGGAGCCTGATAGCCTGAATACGATGGGGAAAAAACAGAAGAAAAAACAAAAAAATTTCAAACGAAACGAGTCAATGAAACCGAAAATAACCAAGCAATTTGACTTTACTCAACTCACCGACAATGTATTCGCCGATATCATAGGTTAACCCTTGACGCAAAAACTCGCCCTGTACACACATACACGTCAATTTCAATACTGTGAATCCGAAAATAACATTTTATGCAAATTCAATTAGAGTACTTACTGGAATGTTCGTAACCAACCAATGTAAATAGAATTGACCGTTAGCATGGTGTGGATAATCTGGATCAATCAGCATTAAGGTATAAGTACGGTCCTATTAGGGTTGAATACGGGCGAATAAAACCGAACGAAAGAAAAAACGAAGAAAAATCAATAAAACCACTTTATTTCGATTTGCATTTGTTCTCATTCCTTGGCTATTTTTAATTCGATTCGATTTATCAGAGCAGTCAAGGTCATTGCATGCCCTGGTTTATTTGCAAATTAGCAGAAAAAAATTACCATGATAAAAAATGCGAGAAAGTGCAAAATCGAGACGAAAAGCCATAATTGGTTTAAAAATACCACAAGATTTTCATCAGCGATTTAAAATGCTTTTTTTGCAACTTTTTTAATACTTGAAACAGATTTTCGTGACGCTTCTTTCTTCATTTTAAATACGATTCTTGAACGATTTATTACTTTTTTCCCCGAATTTTTCAAAACCTACCGATCGGGCGCGTCCATAATACACCAACGGTTGCTCGGCAAAAACATGCTTAGCGATGACCGAATTGCAATTATCACGATTTATCGAGAATCCAGCGTGTGAAACGGAAATTATCATCGGATCAAATACACAACCGTTCAAAAGCTCCGATGGCACGAGCAGTCGACAAGACAAACATATTGTTAGCAAATAGCACAGAACCAGATAAATACTGAACATTCTCGAAATCATTGTGTCACAATTGAAATCAACTTTCGTACTGACACCACACCACATGGAAAACTACTGTGGAACATCGAACGATGAAACGGATTCGCCAGGCACGGAAAGCTACAGAACAGAACAAAAAAAAACGTTTTTGCCTGTTCCAAACTAAATAGCACTTAAGATTGTGTGGTATCGAACAAAAAACGTGCATATTTAATAACCTGACAAAGTGCTAATCCTTCTTCGGTCTCGTTCCATCTTTGCTACTGTTGTTGTTGTTATGGTTGTGACTCTGTTTCCACTCGCCAAGCTCAAACAAACACTCGCTATTGTATTCGAAATCAACAACCACCGCAAACGAACAATGAGCTCACGGCTTCCAATTGTATTGTGACATTCTATTGATTTTCCTTCAACACAATGTATTTGCGCGTTTGCAAAAACCGAAGGGGAGCAAGAGGAAATCAACTCGTCTCGGGACTTAAATGTAAAGACCATGTGAAAAATTGGGTCATAAAATGTAGCCGCGATAGTTCATCGTTCATCGTGTGTGCGAGTGCGCTCGTTCACCTCATGCCATCCCAACCAGTCAGTTTAGTGCACGACAATTAACAACGGAAACCCTTTTTGTTCGACAATTTGTCGTAGCAAGGGTAATACGTGGAATGAAAAACGGCTGCCTGGCACGCAACACATTTGTTTACAACAACAAACACCAAATTGTTTCGTATTTTCTAGCAAAGTGATCACACAACAATTTTTCACTCATTTCAATTTCCAAACTTTGATTCGTTTTCGTCGTGTGCACGGATTTCTCGCCGTTCAGACGAAATCAATTTTCACTAAATTTTATATTGCGCCTAAATGTATGCTATACATGTATTGCACGAACGTACAGTTGAATAAAAGTTTTTACTTATGACAGGTGGTTTCACGTAGTTTTGCTGCCTTTTTCCTGCCCGAGGTAGCATTTTTTTTATAGCAACAACAACGAAAAATAGACAGCCACAAAAGTTTCTATTGAATTATTTTGATTTTCGGTTTCTATGGCATAGTGTGAGTGAGAATGGAAAATGGGGCATTTGATAGGTTTGATCCAATGGAAATGTTCTGAACTGGGGATCATGTGGATGAATATACATATGAATATTTGATGGACAACGAACTATGGTCCGTAAGCTATATGGCTTTCAACGAGGAGTATTTAAAAGAGGATTGAACGATAATTTCGATTGTGGATCAATAATGTTGGATAAGAAAGCTACTTACTGAAGATCTGAAAATCTCCTCCCACCAAGTGTAATAAGAAGGAAAGCATTTAAGCTGAACAAATGTTCCGATGGCAATATCAAACTTTATATAAGCTTATGTGCTTAAAAATTGTCTTGTTGGATGGCGCTGAAATCAGTTGTAATAGAACTGAAGCGGAAAACCTACATACAAAACCAATATGCAAAACTAGGCTTGTACAAAACGTTGGACATTACTTTAAATGAATGAAATGATATTAACTTTATATATTATAAAGTGTTCACTGTTGGACTCAAAATCGAAGTAAAATCCACTCATTTCTCAAATAAAACACCAATTCATTTTGCTTAAAAGAAAAACAGGTATAAAATATATTTTAAATTATTTTATAAAGTGTTGCAGTTTATAAAAATGGGGTCATTTCTTTTCATCGAGTATTTAAAGGTGTTGTTGATAAATCTAAGTTACAATCGTTGCATTTCATTTTGTTTCTTTTCTTTTATACATAAATTATCGTTCCATAATATTTTACACGCATTTCATTATAAAACTGCCACGATCAGATATAAATAAATTAGTTGAAATGGTTTTTTGTGTTCAAGAGAAATTTGTGCATATAGCGCGTATCAAAGTCTAAATGATTTTCAAGAGGATAAATTGAACACGGTCGATGGCAGTAGACTAAAAAAAAACCCTTCCCGAAAAATGTCAATGTTTTGTTTCTTTTTTCTGCAGAATTCTGAATTTGACACAACAGAATAACACAAAAGTAAACAAAAACAAAATCGATGCATCAAAAAAGGGCATTCAAAAATAATTGACTCAGTTTGTTTTTTTTTACTAACTACGCTAACAAAAATTACATACAATTTGAAAATATTTTGTCTAGATGCCGAATAATTCATTCAAAAAACAAATTCGTTGTACAAATTCTATAATTTCGAATTATTGCCATTTCCACCTCCTCCTCCGCCACTCCTGCCCTGATGATTTCGCGGCGCTAGGCGCAATGAGTTTCGATCGTCGTCATCGACGACCGGTTCGTAGGCTTGATTAATTTGGCCAGCGTTTCCGCTTGTGCCATAGATTTGTGAATTTGGCCCATTCATGCCATTCACATCGAAGACATCTTTGATATTCATCGGGACAGCGTTGGATGATCGATGTGTCCGCATCGGCTGTCCATGATGTTGACTGTTATTCATTTGCTAAACGAGAAAAGGAAATGATTAAAATGCCATTTTTGTTAAGGACGTCAAATGTCAATGAATGCTCACATTGGTTACAATTCCATATTCGTTGTTTGCACCAAGGGTTTGCATTTGAGATTTGCGACGTTCAGCCATTACTGAATTTTTACGTACTTCCAGCGCTCGGATCGTTTCACGTCGCATTGTCATACGTCTCGTTAATATTGGCGTACCTTAAGAGAAGAAACAAAACGAATGGTGCTTTTATATCCAACTCAAACCAAGTAGAATGGTAATGATAATTGAAGTTTTCTCACGGTTTTTACTTGGATTGTTTTCATTATCAGCGGTTAACTGTAAGAAACGCTTTTTAAAAGCAACATCCAAGGTGCCGATTTGTCGTCGTGGTTTTGCTGCCTTATCCAAGTTTTGAATGGTTCGGCGACGAGCTACTCGATCCGGTCCACTGCCCGAATCATTGTCATAATCACCGTCAATGCCATGCAAACGTTGGAGATTTTTCACAATTTCCACCGCGTGCTGCAAAATCGAAGGAATTTATTATTCTAACTTATTGATGACAGAACATGTTACGGAGCTTTTTGGTCTGTGATGAAATCCTTCTTGTTGGTGAAAAAAGCTCGAACTACGTTTCACACTGATGAAATAAAAATTATTGTATATAGCCCAACATACCTTATCAATCAGTGCATCTTGACTAAGCTCTTCAGCCTTCTTGTTGCAACAAAAGTTCAATTCAGTGGCGGCCAAAATGTGTGACAACGTTCCAAAACGATGGAACAACATACCCGTGAATTGAATGACCAAAATCAATGCGAAGAAAAATACAAACACCAAACCAATGGGTTCCAATTGCAAATATTCTTTCGATATATGAACCTAAAGGGAATTCCAATCAACTTTAATACGTGTTTCTAGTGACTATGGGTTAGTTTTTTTGGTCAATTAAAATCTAATGATTAACAGTAACTAGTAAAGAAAAGTACACACATTTGGTTTTTGTAATTTGATAATTTGAGTTATTTACAAAAAAAGGAATGCTCCATTTGCAAGGAAATTATGAATTTTTAACACAAAAATTAGTCACATCATTGAATTGATTTGAATTTGGAATTTTGATACTGTTTTTTAAACTTGTTTTTTCTTCCATTGAATGGGAAATCAAAAGTGGAATTCGAAAAAAAAATATCTCATGTGCGGACTTAGTGAATTGGTACATTGTACCAATGGTACAACAGAATGTGGAATTCGTACAGTAAAAAAAGAATAACATGCAAACAAAATGATCGAATTAGATGTGAATTTTGGTAAAACTACAAATTTTTGCCATCGATTTCTTTTTTGCACTAAACAGAAAAATGGATTGCCGAACGAAAATTTGGAAACAATTGTTTTTTTTTACTATCGAATCATATCTGATGCAATGAAAAACAAAATAATCAATGTATTTAAAAAAAAGGATAGGTGTGTTGGAGATTAAAAAACCAATAGTTGCTCAAAAGGTCAAGTTCATCGTCAAAGTGGTAATTTAAAACGGTGTTGTTTTTTAAAGTGTAAGAAATTGTATTGTAGAGAAAGTTAAAGAAGTGAAGATTATGCATATCTTTTTCCAAATTAAACAACATTAGAAAATTTTCAATAAAGAAAACGTGCACGGTATTAAATCAGAGTGATCGACATATTTCCATTTTCAAATCCAAAATTAGAGGTTGTACCATATTATGTATAAGTGTGAACGGAAATTTTTTGATTTTGCGAGTAAGAGACACATGTAAGGAAATTGTGCAACAGTGAGATACACAAAAAATAGGTGATAGAGCTCGTTTGAAACTAGGATCGATTTATATGCTGTCAGCCATTTAAAAAAAAAAAAAACATATATTGAAGTTAAATAGTTAGAATATCACAGTTGGTATCTTTGAATGGAAAATATTGTGTAAAAGAAAAAAAAAGGAAAAAATAAATATATTTATCCAACCTCGCCCGTTTCTTCGTTATATGTGATATTTGTGTGGATCCCAAAGGGCCAATTTATGTGAATTTTATCTTTATTCAATTGCATGAGGAATACGATCAGTACGAATAATGCGTTGAACATGAAAAATGCGAATACGGATTTGTTGCGTAGTTCGATAAGATCCTTTGCAACGCGTTCCTATTGGCGGAAATCGATCGAATGCGAGCGTTGCGTGTGCGGTTTTTGTTTCGTTTGTAATTTGTTTTTTTTTGCAATTTGTTGATAAGATTGAATGATGATGGATGCGCGCGAACCGAATTGATGTATACGAACGCGATTTGTTTTTTTTGTAAATGTATGTCAATGTGTTGGTATGTTTTGTATGGGTTTTTCAATGTGTAATTTTTCGATTTGTGGTCCAACGTAAAAAAAAGAAAAAACAAACGAAAACAAAACAAAAAAGAGAAAATTAATGAATGAACTTAAAAGGGACACCAAACAACACACCGTCAAACAAACGCAATTGTGACCGCATGAAGTGGTGTCCCTGTACGTTACCTCTTGTGTAGTTTCATCATAGGTAATATTCGTTTTGACACCCAATGGCCATTTTATGTGAATATGATCCTTGTTCAATTGCAGCAGAAACACAATCAATACAAACAGTGCATTTATCATGAAAAATCCAAACACCGACGAATTACGTAACTCCTTCAATTGAAGTGCTATCCTTGCCTGAGTTTTGGGACAATATTTGGGTCAATGAAATTCGATTTTTTTTTGTTGCATTTGAAATGCTGATTTTTACCATGATCCGAAGTTGACACCAACTTCATTTCACGTTTCGTGACTACTACAGCATACTTACCCGTTGGCCACGCGATACTTAGAATGAATGATGCGATGTAAAATGTCATTTTGAGATTGATTTAATTTGTAAATTCTTTTTTCCCTCTCTTTCCCCCTCTCTCAAAATTCGATTTTGCATCAAAATACTAACAAAGTTCGAAGAGCAAAAATATACCTGTTCCTCTTTGTCTTGATCGATTGGATAAAGATATTTGTCGATGAGGTCTTTCCAGAATTGAGTTTCGGAGCTCGATAAGAAATCGACTTCACCTTTCTTCAAATCGCCATCTTCAATCCAGTATGGGTTAGTGAGGAAATCACGTTCTTCGCGTTGTACCGTCGATGTTTCGGAATCGGAGTGTTCGCTGTCTTCGTCAGTTTCTTCGGCCACCGAGCCCAAGTGGTGGTCACGTGAGCTGCCTGAAGCGGTGCGTTTGCGATGTTGGAAGCCATGTGGATCGACAATATGCTCAATTGTGTCGATTTTCTTCTGGATTGTTGTCAACGAATCGGCAATATGGGTCAATTGAGCTTTTTCATCGCTGGTTTTGCCATGCGTGCAGAACATACAACGAAATAGTCCGGCCAATGATAATTCAATCGATCCTTCTTCATCGCCATTATCACCGGCACCGCCTTGCAAGAAACTCAACAACGATTTTTGTTTGGCACGTTTGGCCGCTTCTTCGGCTTCTTTTTTCTCGCGTTCCAATTCTTTTTTGGTTTTCTTTGCGACCACCTCACGCGTACCCCATGAGACGACGTTCAAGTTGATGATTGAGTACAAAATCAACAGCAAATACATCGATGGGATTGAGAGTACATAAATGATACCAGCCGATACACACCAAAACTCTTGCGGATGCAGTATTGATGCCGTGAAAAACGTCGCCGCCGTTGCTATCAAGAATATCGCCGAGGGACTGCCGATACCATCCTCGCCCAACTGCAACGCCGTACCCACTATCACCGCCATCATTATCAGTGCATATATCGTAGACAGTATTTGCGCCACAATCAGCTGAACGTTGGATTTACACGTGAAACAAATCAACATAAATAAGAGAATCGGAATGATATTGTAATGGAATGATGTCCAGTTATCGATTTTAAAAGCAGCCACGAAAGCTCCCACCAACATCAGAAAGATCGTACCAGGGCCAAGGATTGTGCCACCCATCAACATAACTTGGTAGGCAATATAAAGCAGTGAGATATTGTCATTGATTTTAACGGTGCGTTTGTAGTCAACGAGCAGATCCATGATGTTGGCAATGGTTGATGGCACCCATCGACGACGTTGATTGTAGAATTCGTTAAATCCTTCAGGGCAGTGAGTGTAGGCGTCCGATGCAGCTGAGTATTCGACACGATAGCCTCGTTGCAACAACAATGTGCACAGCCAACGATCCTCTCCTTGATCGTATTGCACATAATGTCGAGCCTCATCCGAACGTGTTGTGTATTTCTTCATAACATTATCATCCATCAAACCTTTGCCACGGAAAAGTGAGAAACAGCCCGGGCTACAAAGTACGCATCCAATCATATGTTCGGTTGCTTTTTGAAGCCAATGACCAATTGCATATTCGAATTTTTGATACCACACCATCGGTCCGCTACCAATTGGATGGATACGACCACAAGCAGCGCCCAAGTTTTTATTTTTCTTCATCAAATCGACCAACAGCATGACAGCACTCGGTTGGAAATCAATATCACCGTCCAATGTCAACAGGTAAGTATTTTCAGCAACAACTTCTTTACGGTCCACAGAAATTGGCAGCTCCATCAAACGATGACCCAACAAATAGTACATGTACATCACTTGTGACCAACGTTTTCTGTGACGAATCCGATCTTTGTCTTTCAAATGGGCAATCATTTTTGTTTTTCCAGGTAAGGTCCACACCAATCGACCGCCGTATGGTGCTGGGTATTTCTTTGGCGGACGCACACGAATCGTTGTTTGATGTACATCTGATGCGGCATCGTCAATTGTTTGTATCAACAATTTTACGAATCGATTCACTTGAATGTCAGAATCACTGTGATCCGAAATTTCGAAAGCATCATCGAAGAAAATGTGAGCTGCACGAGAGAGTAAAGAAAACGAAAGTGAGTTGAAGAAAAACAAACATTTTGTTATTGTCGAATTCATTTTAAAATTGCTTGTTCTTACTTTCAAATTCATAGTAATCGGGGTCAACGACACGCAAATACTTCTGAGCCACACGTCGCGCACATTGATCTTCATCTAAACGCATGATACTCTTTAAGAACTCCATCATTTCGTCTTTTGTTTCGTGCCACATTGTAGCACAGGCATAGATTCGTGTGATGTGATCGGAGTTCTTGATGTTTGGCTTGTGCGGTGTTGAGCCATCGGTATGCACGGAAATCGTTTCGTAATATTCGTCACCTTTTTCTTTTTCAATTTCGGCCAGTTCCTGTTTGATGTTGTGGTGAAATTTTAATTTGAATTAGTTTTAATTTTTTTACCCTTTTAGACAATAGTTGATGTTGTTGTTTTTTCAATATTTAATTTGAATTTGAGCTAGTGCCTTAATTTTCAAACGAAATTGGGTGTCACCAATGGAAAATAATTTAAAACAATGATTTTTATTGTATTTTCAAAACATGACTCACTTCAGTTTTCACATCGGCTTGGTCATCACGTCTTCGATTCAATGCCATCGACTGATCAATCAATAAACCGCTGTACATTGGGCTGACAAACAGTTTTTCCGTTGTTGCTAAACGTTCACATTTCGGTGTCCATATGTGAAGTGTGATCCATGTTTGTGATAACAGCCAAAGTAGCCAGGCCCATGCCATTTCGCGATTCGCAAAGTCACTCAACCGGAACACTGGCGGACTTTCGAAGAACAAATAATCGGGTATGGTGCCGCTGAAAAAGCACGGATCACCATTTCGAATACCGCAGAGGGCAATCATCAATGAAATGGACACTGGAATGGTCAAATTGACTGGGAACGCATAACTGAAACCTTGAATTAGAATTTTACAAGCGAATTTGCCGAAAATATAGCACAAATATGCGGCGACAATTTGGAACAATAGAACATAAATGACAGTATTGTGTTCGGCGTTAATTTCAGTGGTGTCTCCAAGCTATGGGAAGAAAAGACAATATATATTTGTTAAAAAAAAATCGCAAAAAGCAATATTGGTATAATTATTTATAAAAAGATGGTTTATAAACCAAATCTAAACACTTAATTTACATAAACAAATGACAACAGTTTACAAACCGGTGAATTAGCGATGATATCAGGTAGGCTAACTCTCAATGTGGCGGACACTTCTTCAACAATAATTTTGTGTGGTCCGAATGCGTCACCAAATAAATAGAACAGATTCATTGGATATTCGCCTTGCATCCACAAAATCAGAAACAGTGAGCAAGCGAAGACTGCAATTTTCCACAACGAGAAGAAAATACAATTGAAATAGCGCGTGGTACGTAGGTCTTCTTTGGCTCGGCCCATCGCTCGAACGAATCCAATTGGGCTATGAATGCACACATAATTTTCCCACCAGGCACATGATGTCATTATCGCAGCAATCGGAACCATCCATAAAATCGGCCGATTTTCCAACAACGGCCACACAACGAAGCCGGTGATTTGTGCTGAAATGGCAAGCAAATCAATGATGACTTTAATGGCTCGCCGGCCCTCTTTCGACGAACGTGAGAGTAAGCCGAGAATTCCTAGAAGAAAGTAAATCATTTTGGTGGGTGTGATAAGATTGCGTAATTGGTACTTCAAACCGATTTTAGCGATTTCAATCATCGAATTATTTTAATATCGATATCATTTTACCTGGGATGCAGCACAAGCAATTCGTAACCATAGCTGCTTTAACCGAATCCAATTCGGGCAGTACAACAAACATGAGCAGGGCAACGCCGACCGTATGAAGTGTTTCCATTAAAAATATGAAGAGAAAGTGGGACCTTTGTGGTCGTTTCCATGATTTAAAGAAGCAAATACGAACAGCTCGAATGAATGCACCAATCTCTGGAATTGAAAATGCAATGAACAATGCCCACATCCAGGCTACACGCTCCTCCTCTGGTATAACTGAAACGAATGACTTATCTCGTCCCTGTTGCAAAAAAAAATAAACACGAAAATTATTCACGATGATGATGTTCTTTAATCACACAAGTGTTTATTTAGCAAGAGCTTATTTCGGATTTTCCTTCTTCTTTTCAAACTTACCAAATCTTTGTTGCAGTACGGTAATTTTCGGTCACGACGCAATTGCGCCGTCATAAACAATACACAGCCTTTTGAGAATACACCACCGCCAAGCACAATGACGAATGTGAACAGATATGCGAATAATTTTAGTATTTTCACCGATAAATCAAGACACGCCTGATTTGCCATCGAACCGCTCTCGATTTTGAGCGGCGGATCTCGGAAAACATCCCATCCCTTTGTAGGTTCCCCAACCGTACGTTGGCTGAGAGCAAAAAAGAAACGTGAAGAAAAGAAAGAAAATATCAAGAAGCGAAGAGAAAAAGAAAGAGAAGAAAAAGCATCGTTGTTCTTTCATTCAGGTTATTCAAGTTCAATACAACGCATTTGCCAATTTTCACCTTAAAACCCTCAACGCTCAAGTTTAATGCTCGATGATGATGATTACACTTATCTCAAGCAAAATCATTCGATATTTAAGTACTATTAGTATGTAATTGGGCTGTGTGTTATAACATCGTCATTTGCACTTTACGAAGAAATTCTCTTGAGTTTGGAATCAATTTTTGGATAATCCAATTCGAAAACATGCATCACTGAACATTAAATGAATGAATAGCGTTAGCCATTATACAATCGATAGATTTTTGGACTGATTTTCGTTGGCAGCCAAAAACCATAATGGTGAATAACAAAAGCGATTTCGTTCACGATATTACGTTGTTTTCTGCACTCTATTATAGTTGCCTTTATTCTCCACCTTCATGGCGTTTGAAAGGCGAATAATAATCGCGTTGAAACAAAAAAAAATAATACATATTTTGCACTCTTAAAATTGATACCCCATATAAAAGTCATAGAAAAAAAATACATGGCTCGATTTGTTGGCAGATTTGATGTATATAAATCGGATTTCGTCATGCTTTTCATTGGATACAATCGGAGATAGCGCTTAGTGGTACTGAAAATTGACGAATGAAGAGAGATTGAATAAACCTGCAACAATGATCTTATCTTTGGAATAGTATTTGGTTTGGTAATTATTGCGAAAGCAAAGTGCCGTAGTTTTGATTGATTCACGTACATCATCTATCCAGTTGAATGAAAAAAAAATCAGAAAGCCGAAGCACCGCTCATTGATCGCATTCATCTATATTCTCAAGAAAATTGTGTTTGTGTGTGCGAATTTTTTTCCAAACGGAAGAATTAATGTTAAACGGTTACCGGTAGCAGCAGCACCTCGTTAATGAACAGGCCATCATCAAAGAGAATGAATCTTGATGGTGCAAACATTTCAAGCGTACAAATCAGTCAATCAATATGGCCTCATTTCGGAACGGAAACAAATCGAATAGCAATCTCGTGGAACCGTGATGAATTCTTACGTAAAAAACAGACAGAAGGGAGAAAAACAAATCGCGCATTGCGATTTACGCCAGCCAATTCGCCCTAATCATCGGTTTGCGGTAAATTGAAATGGCGATACCATTGATTTTGTACGCGGACAAATACGGAACAATATTGTGTGTTGACGTGGCGCAATAACATTAATCAAATTAGTTAACAAATTACTGGCACCAGACAAATTGATACTGCTGATATTCGCCCAGTCTCAATCGTGTCGATCGTATAAGTAACAAAAGACATTTGTGTGGCTTTGACTTACACACGCAGCTGCGGAACCCACTTGCATTATTAGTACCATTCGAACGGTAAATAATAATTATTTTAAAAAATTGATTCGAAAGGCAAATCAAAAATTGTATCCAAAATGAGAGCTTAATAAAGTACGTCAAGGTAAAGGTATGATTAAATGTGGAAATAATATTTAGAAAATTTATGGCAACTGACAAACAATTCGTGCGCTGATTTATCGTCATCTGTGTGTTAAAATAAAACAAAAATTTCGACTTGAGCTCGGAAATGAACAATTATAGTCAAGAGAGAGAAAAATGGCTAAATCTTGATTTGCATACAACGGACTTGAAATCGAAAACATTACAACAACAACAGTTCCATTTTGATCGGAGTGGTCACTGGTCAGTCCAATGCAGAATAAATAGGTGAGCATGAAAAAAAATGTGAACGAAACGAATGGAAAAAATAGACATCTCAACGAAAACGACAAGATCTAACGCGAATAAATAAGCGATTCGATTGGAAACCCAAGAGATTCAACACACAAGAGGGACATAAAATCCAATAAAATAAATTCATTTCAAATGCAAATGGCCAGCTAGCTAAACTAGTTTTGAAAAATAGAAAAGACAAGACCGAGAGATAGAGAGACACACGAAGAAGAAGAAAAAGAAATAAAAAATAAAAGCCGCAGCAGCAGCAATGATTCGAAGCGAGTTGTATGTGAGATTTATGCCAGATGCCCGTAAGTATTTCTATGCTATTCGTTTCGTTTGAGTGCTTTGCGCGAATAGCTCAACGGAAAATGAAAAACAGCAGCAGCAGCAGCAGCAACAACAACAAGAACAACTGTGACTCCATCCAGTAACATAAATATAAAGCAACAAAATATCACTTTCACTAACCAAGCCACAGACAACAATGAAGCACTCACACAGATACACGCATACACCACGAACGCAACAAGTCGAAGAAGAAAAACGTGTGCGCTTGTGGTAAATTATGTGTTGAGTGCTGTGTGCGCACCGAGCATGTATGTATACTGGAGCTAGGTCGATAGCTGAATGAATGGAATTGAACGGGCGAAAAAGAGAAAAGTATGGAAACTGTTGAAAAAATGCGAAGTAGATCCAAGAGAAAAAGATCCAAATATCAAGCTCTTGATTCGAGGCATAGTAAACGAAGCACTGACGGTGATCGTGATCATCATGATTAGAGATGAAACCGAGTATGAAAATCAAAACATAAACATGCTTGGCTGTGACGACGAGAGCACATTGCTGCTGCTGCTAGTACAACGTACGATCTATGCCTCCATTCAAACAGACCCATTCGCAAATAGCCTCATTTAACTTTCTAAGCATTTGCGAAGCAGAATAAATCTTTCCACCACGGTTTGAAACAAATAGCAAATGACTCAAAACCAATTTAGCTCCAAGTCGTATATTTGACCACTGAGTTGAGATTGATTAGCGTGTCATATGATCATTTCTCGATTGGAAAACGAACTATCGTTTTTTCCATCGTTGGTTTTGCTGGAGAAATATTCAAATTTATGCATTTCAAAGGAAGAATGTTGTTGATTTCAAATTACCTGCCGCCATAGATGTCTTGGGTGAGTGGTGTGCTTTCATTATCTGAGAATTCATCGTCACTGTCGCCGGGTGGTGGTGGCGGACCAAGCGAACGATGTCTCAACGCAGACATCGTTTTTCCTTCGTTAATCGCTCAAATAATCTACGTTTCGTCCGCTTGACTTGCTCAACCAAAAAAAAAAAAAAACCTGTGTGAAAAAGAGAAAAATATCCGATTAGAAAATCGCCCAATCTTCCAATGAACCCGTTTGTCTATATATTATGATCACTCTGGTTTCAAATGCGTGTTTGCAATTTTCACTCGACGTCATTTACAAATAAATTCGCATTTCCTGTCAATTTAATGAGGTTCGCATATGGTCGGAGCAATTTATTGCAAACCAAAACCACTTTTTTACTCTCTCTTTCTCTCTCTCTGTTCTCTCGTTACCACTCGACTCGCTGTCATTATTTTACACTACTGTGGTATATAAGGCAAAATGACAAGTTTAACTAGTTTTATTTCATGAAATGTGTAGTAAATATAGCAATGTTTACGAAATGTGAGAGCATGCGTGCAGCCTGATGGAAATATGTTCACAAGCATTTTCACTAAATAGATCTCACAATTTATGGTCAGGAAACCGCAAAGCATTTACAAACACAAACACACAAACTGTACTTGTTGTTGTCTTTGATTGAAGTGGGTTTTTTCTCTCTATGTGACAAAATTACCATTTCACGTTGTACGCTCATTGCATGTATTGCTTAAGCGCTATTCTCATCGATCTTCTTCAAAATCGAAAAAACACATAAAACCTTTTTATTGCGAGATAATAAAATTAGATGTGTCCGAAATAGCAATTGAATTTTGGTTTTCGGTTGGTCATTCGGCAATAGCATGTGGGACTGATGACTTGAATACCTAAGACACACACACACACACACACAATTTGTTACTATACGGGCAATCCAAAACACGAGACGCAATCTGATTCGGTTTTTTTTTACCACTTTACCATGTTAATCCAAACGCCTTAAACGACTGAACCGTACCGATATCTCGCTACAGAGTCGTTGACATTAAGACACAAGCATGAATTGAACATAGAGGCAAAGACAATGTGTGAAACGATTGGTACTCAAGCATTTGGGTTTTGTGCGGCGAGTTTTTATCTGCTTCTTACTTTGAATGCTCTTAAAATAGTTTTGAAAAAGTGCTGAGTTCATAGGTCTGCTCGATGACACGAAGGAATGACGATTTCAAAGCTTTTAAGGTTTATTTGTCGTCGCGGCAAATTTAATTGGATTCTCTCGATATTTCAAAGAAAAAAAAATGTTTATTTTCTTCTTCTTTGGCAGCATCATCAGCGGCAGTTCAATGATCGGTAGTTTTAACCATTGTTTCCCACTATTTTTTTTCTTTTGCGATCGTCTTGTAACATTCAAAATCGCGATGCTTGATTAACAAAGACAAATGGCTTTTTAACATTTATACAAGACCAACGATTCTATGAAATTGGTGGTATTCAACTTTCTGTCCACTCAAATCGCAATCCATTCGACGCCGCTGCCGTCGTCGTCTTCGTTGCCGCCACACACTTCAGTATCAGGGGAGAAACAAATTGCTTTAAATGGAATAGCAATCGCATTAAACTATGTATGCGTTATTATAGAAGAAATAAACCGTTTAAAAAAAAGTGCTTTAGTTGTTGCAATAAAACAGTTGAGTGAAATAAAGAATGTAAATCGAGACAGCCTTGAAGCTGGAATTTTTATGTTCGGTTCTCTCTCTCCCCCAGTAGTTTTAGTGTCTTGTAGCCCAGTATACAGATACACAAACACAAGCATATACGCGCTATGTGTGTAGTGCAGCTTTTTTTCTGTCGTGCATTTTTTTTTCGTGTGTACATGCTTTTATAAATTTAAATTATTGTTTCGATTTTTCGTTTCCTATAATGTGCACCAAACGCCTCGAAATAGCGAGCTCAATTGGACAGGCGAACAATTTACAACGCTTTGATATAAACACTGCTTGCAACATATCTCGGCCTCTGTCTCTGTTTCACCTCCCATTACTCTCTTTCGGTATGAATATGTGCAGGCTGAGTCGGGACCGCGCATTAACAACAAAAACCAATATTCCCTTCGCTGTTGCGGTCGGCGATCGGTTTGTTAACTGCATACACTTCTTATGTTATTGTATTGGAAAAAAGTGAGTGCATCATTTTTCAATTTTTACATTGCAATACATCGCTCCAAATTGCCTTAGTGGCATTGTTCCATTGCGGGAACAAAATTTACTACTGGACAAATAAACGACAGATTAAGCGTATGAGTGCCGCCATCGCTTCTGGTTTTGATCTTTAATTAAATATTTAATCGCAGCCAGACAATGAGACAATTGTCTCTGCTGTGTGGCTCTTTGGCTCCACTTTAATGGATCAAGTTGCCATTTTTTCAACCGAAAATGGTGATGTCAGGGCGATAGCGAGAACAAAACCGTAGCCCAGGCTGACCAAAACCAATTTATTGAATACACAATATAAAACATGCCCCGCAATGGAAGCCGAATAATTGCACTATTTTCGCCTGCTGGTGTTCAGTTTCGTGTTGCAGCCCAAGATCTACTGAACTCCTTCAGAAGAGACGCACATACAACAGCAACAAAAACAACAATGACAAATTCTTTTATTCTCTCATTCGAATCTCTTGCAAGCGATCTCAAATGCATTTTTTTCTGGTCTTGCTTGCAAATGCGGCATACCAATCGCACAAAGCCCAACACAAAAATATAAAAATAAGCAACATTTTAAATATAAAAGATAAATAAATATAAGCGTTGCATTTTTGTGGGCCTCATGCAAGCATTTATATTACAGTACGAGCGCGCATCGAGTGCACAGAACTGGTTTCAACAGGAAAAAGACAGACCATTTTTGCGCAAACACGGCACAGTCGCCAATAATATAATAATAATGGGATGGAAGAAAAAGAAAGAAAACCGCCACATTAAAAATAGACTTTTGGCTCGAACGCGATGTACACCAATTGTTTTTTTCCTCGATTCGTTTTGTTTTGTTCAAGATATCAAGACACATTACGAATTTTTGTTTTGCTTAGTTAAGAATAGGGTGAAATTTGAGAAACGGCCAGACATGATAATACATAAACCATGAAGTTTTTAACAACATTAAAAATCATATGTTGAGCTCATTTTTTTGGAGCACCATTCTAAATTGAATTTGCCACGGCCCCAAAAATCGTTACCATTTCATTAGGCAAATATGCCGACGATCGTATTCGTTTGGGTCATACCAGAGACTACACACATTTGCGATCTCTTTTTTTTCTGTTCGCAATACACTCAAGCTGTAAGAAAAAGCGATGCAAACGGATTTTCAAAAAAAGTGGCTGCAAAAAGTGAATTTTTTTTATTGTAAATGATAATCCAACAAATGAAATTGAAACGAAAAACGTGAAATCATAAATATCATAATAACTCATACTGAAGGTCAGCATATTTTTATTGCAGCCAATCTGTGTGAATCATGTAGCATCTACGTTATTCTTCATTTTATTATTCTCTCTCTCTCTCTCTCTTTGTTTCTCATCACCTTTTTTAAATGTCAACAACAAGAGACGTCATTATCAACATCAAATGCTCGCCATGTACAAATCGAATCCGATTAGGTTGTTTTTTTTCTTTCGAAGGGGCCGAAATTGAATTCACCATACTTAACATGGTAAATTGAATTGTAGACCGAAGAAGAATGGTCTACCAGCAACAACAAAAACTAAACTAGTTCAAACACTTTTCACGAAAACCGTGATCCTATTTTCAACTTGAAAAGTTATCGATAAAGACGGTTTGGTGGGCTTTGAACGTGCAGCAACAGAAAAAAGAAGAAACGCAAAAGAAACAAAGAAAAATTTAATGGTTAGTGCTTGAACGAAACCAAAAAGTAGCGTGTTTTGAATGCACTACATGGCTCTGCTTGATGTTGTTGTTGCTATGTTTTTTCGATGTTTGGCGAGCGTGCAACGGATTACCGCTACCTTATAAATTATCCGAGGTGCAGAAACAACAGAAAAAATAATAGAATGAATTGGAAGGCCTTCAACATAAATAAAACTTAGTAAGAAAATACACATTGATTTTGGGTATTGTTTTCCGCTCATTTCGACAATTGATCGGTCATTCTTCTTTTAGCCACAATATTTAGCGATCAGTTCATTTTTTTTCGAAACGGCCATAAATTGACGCCCTGATTTTATCAAACATGTGAAGAGAGAGAAAAAAAACCACTGAACACGAAAATAAACACACACCGTGGATTAGGTATCAAGTCGCGAATATGTTTTTTTACGCCTTAAATCCACATAAGCGACACACTGGAACAATTTCGAGCTTTTTTTTTTCTCGCGTTGTTGCTGTTAAACAGCAATTAGCACCGGTAATACCGTTAGTATAAAGTTTTTTCACTTGTTTGAGCGCATTGAACAAGTTCGTGATATTTTCCATCGACATAGAAACGTTTTATCGCAACACTACGATCGGATGGCGGGCCCAGACACATTGATGATGCTTGCGGCGAAAAACAGAGAAAAAACCATTTAGAAACCAGGCAAAATAGCCAATAATGGACACACATTGTGCAGTGTTGGCCACACACCAATGGAATTTGCGTCACCTTCCGCCGCACAACAAGGATCATGATGATGTGTAGCCAAGGCCGCCTGTCACAGACAAATCATATGGAAATGATGATGCAGAAGAAGAAGAGGAGAAAAAAAATTGCTGGGCGTTTGATATTTCTCGAATATGCGTCAAATCAAATTAATGGGCAGCTGCAACAAAGTATCTAGTCGCTATGGATTCAGGTGGCGAACATTTTCCGTTTGATCTTTCAATTTTTTGCTCAATAGATTTGAATCTTTGATTGCGTTGTGGCCGAGAAGCCAGATTGGTCACCAAAATGGCGACCCCCTGACATTTTGCCTAGCCATTTAGTTCACCTGCATAGACACAATATCAATTCGCTATTATAAATACAGTAGAATCTCGATTATCCGTCCTCCCATTATCCGTCACCTCCGTTAACCGTCACACCTTTTCAAGGTGGAAAAGTTTTTTTTCAGTTCATTTTTCAGTTTATTTGACTTGAACATACGAATAAAGTTGCCAACTAACTTTCATAATCAAAATCAATTGAACTGCTGAGAATAAAAGGCTGACGATTGCAGGTTTTTCGC